ACTTTAAGTTGTAGAGTGGGCCATAATGGTTTCATAACAGCCTGTACAATAGGATCTAAAATGATGACTTTTGACTGCCATACAATATTAAAGTTTTCTAGTCTTATGAAAACGAATGAAGTTTTTCTAAATTATAGTTTCAGTTTCTTTGGATAGAAGAAACTTTATAGTATTCATTTTTGTGTACTCAAAAAGTGAGTACACTCTAGAATCGGTCAGTGTGTCCGTCCGGCCGTCCGGCCGTCCGGCCGTTAACACGATAACTTTCGAAAGGAGAGTCAGATTTCGATGAAACTTTCTATACAGCTTAGTCTTGACAATATCTCGGTCGAGTTCGAAGATGAGAAGGATCGGCCGAGCCGTTCCTGAGTTATTTCAAAAATATCCATTTTTCCCTATAGCTTTCTGTGGAAAAATGGACCCATCGCGACTTTCGTAAAAGACTTTTCCTCTCATAGTCAATTAAAACCCCAACTATTATATACCATTCGATAGAGAATTTCAAGAGCTACAAAATGATATATAAAACATAAAGAAATAAGAAGGTTGACTTACCTATGACAAGGATAATTGAAGAGAACTAGGTTATATTTTGGTCCACGATCTAATTGATCCACAAAGAGAGCTCTATCTTCCGATCACAGTGATGATACTCTGAGGTTTTCAGAGATGGAGAACTCGAATGTGTACTGCACTTCCATCGAAATACTATTAGCTATGCAGTGACCAATAGAAATGAAGTTATAGGAAAAATGACTTTGTTAGGGTAAATCAAGGGAAAGAGTTCAAATCTGAGCTGTATTCGGTCTCAAGTCCTATTGGTTTGGTAACCCGCAAGAGAAATCAACATTTTAAATGGTAGATTTCACAGTATAATTTTGATGTTCAGACAGTCTAGGATGACTGGTTCATATGATTCACTTTTTGAAGTACACATAACTCTCGGATTTAAATCCGAAGTTTCCGCATTTTTTATTGTTATTATAAAATGTTTAACTTTTATTGCTGTTATAAAGAGTCATAAATACTGCTCTCTAAACCTGATCGTTCTTAGCATATTGGAAATTGTAATGGCTACAGATTTGAAAAAAGAGAAAACGATTTCATAGCGTGTATGATCATTACAATTTAACAGATTCCTTTTTTTTCAAACAGCATCTTGAGTTTATTGTTGACAAAATCATAGTAACAGATGCATATTTTATAATTTCTTCTATCGCGGCAAATTAAAATAAATATAAAAGACGGATTCGATTAGCCTTCTTTTAAGATTAGAAAAGTATGATGTGGGATAAAAGTCAAAAGTCTTCGTTTCAATATCCAATTATAGAAGTAATTACTAGATAGAAATAAGAACTTAAATATTTCTCATATCAGCCGAAGGAAAATAACATCTTCAATGAGACACAAATAAAATACTAAAACACTTTTACATTATGAATTAAGAGTTTTTGTGCCTATCGTTTTTTTTCTATTTATATCATGTCTATCTGAAGAAACTATTTATCAAAAATAGTTGATAAACAACACAGGAATAAACATGGTATGTCTTGAAATATTCCTCGTGCCTATCAGAAAAACTATTTAGGAAAACCTAATGAATATTTTTGCATATGAGAAACGTTTCAAAATTAGCATTCATTCGTCACTGAATTAGATTGAAATAATACTTTATCCTGTGGAAAAAAATCTATTTTTGTATCTCCAAGCTCTAACTACATTTGATCACAATGAATTAATGATTTCTAATAAATATGTAGTTCTCGAACAATGTTTTAAACTTTTCATTGATATTTGCGGCTTTTTCTATTTCCCTAGTCCGTAAAGTCTGATTTGACTGCTCTTTGAAAACCTCATCACGATAAGTAGTGAGATCTTTTCGTAAATTAAGAACTACTAATTGAATGAAAAGATAGTACAACAAATAAATTATACATAAATATAATATTAAGACTAGGATACTTCTTATGTAAAGTATTGTGCAGAAATATGATAATTTATTTTACGCGTAAATTAAATTACAAGTAAATGTAAATTGACACCCCTAGGTGTAAAGTAAACAGGATCTCTCTTCGCGACGCACTAAATGCGCAGTTATCTATTGATACTAGGCAGCTATATAAACATTCGTACGAAAAAACATCAACAACGGTGGAGATGAAATCTTCAAAACTAAAAAAGGCGAAACTGTGCTCTTGTGTGTACTCGTCTTTTCATACCGCCAGAAGTCTTATAAAGCCATGTAATCTCCGAAAACCATAACTCAATGAAAAGAATCTGGCAAGTCATGAAAATGTCACAGCATTTGTAGTTTTATTAGTTCTACGAAATGACTAAAGAGATTAGAGCTTCACGGTTGATGTGAGGGGGTACAGTATGCGTTTGTTGCATGGCAGGTGGACATATATGTCTTTCCTGAGAAATGATTGGTTATGTAGCAGAATAACATATTTAAGACAAAGAAAATATTTTTGAGAAAAAATGTTTTTTGCCGACAACTACCTTGAGAGACTCTTACCTTCATTTTCTCAAGGAAAACTCTTCTTCAAAAGTTTTATGCTATATATGATTCAACCCAGTTTAATACACTAATTCCAAATACATTTTTTTGTCGATTGAGTATTTTTCCAAAATTAGAAAAACTGAAAAATACCTGACAAGCTAGATGTTTTTAAATTTCCTGTGCATTTTAGCAATATTTGCACTAACAGGGATTAGAGGAAGTAGACAGAAGAACATTCTGGCAAAATTTATAAAATTTCGGAAGTTGGCTGTAGATGGATTGCTCATTTCACGGGACTACCCGTTCGAGCGACACTGTAGAAAACATTTTTTTTTCTTGAAAGTTAAACCTGCAAGTTAAACAATATGTTTTAGCATTGCATAGAGCTCAACTTGAAGATTCGAAATATGTGGCTAATTTGTTTATCCAACAGTATAATTTTGTCACATATCAACACATATCAAATTTTCCTAGTGATAGCACGATTTCCAGACTAATTTTTGGACAACTGATTTTTCAGTTTCTTTGAGGGTTGTAACAAAGTTGTTCATAATATTAGATAGGCTATATTTTCAAGTGTATCTTCCTTTATTTAAAATTTGAAAAGCTCTATGTTCACTTTTAGCCACGTGTCCGTCTCAATGCGCACTATAGATGACGAGATGGAAGAAGAAGAAAGGAGATTAATGATTCTTCTCAAATTCATGTATTTAAGGACTTTTTAGGCTTAGTGAAAGTAAATTGTCCAAGAGTTTTCTCGAAGTAGGGACGAAGAAAGAGAAAGAACGAGGTCAAAGTTGGCAAGATGATGACCAGAATCAGACCTTTACCGAAGCTAAAAAAAGCTTGATCTCGTAAATCTGTGGGGAATAATTCAATTTGGAATTTAAAAAGTAGAATAAATTTAACTTATTTATTTTTATAGAGAACCTACCGGTAAAATCTGATGGTTTCTTTGTTGAAGATGCTTTCTCAGTTGTTTCAGATGCATTTGAAGGACGAATACTCGATCTTGGTTGTTTAGTTGTTTTTCCTAAATGTTTCACAAAACATTGTCTTTCTCTACAATATCAATGTCAACAAATACAATCAATAACGAACCTGAGCATTCTGATGGTTTAACACAATCACCGTTGTCATTGAGTACATAACCTTCTTTGCAATAGCATCCCTCATTGTATGTATCATTGTAACATTTCATTTTGGATGTGATGTCTAGATCGTTACAAGTTTTTTGACATAATGTTCCACATGATTTGTATTCTTCATTTTCTTCACATGTCAAAGCTTAAATGAAGAAAAAGGAAAAAATTGCTTTCTTCAATGAACTATTAACATACGACAGAATTCATCGTTTCGCCAATGCTCAATTGAATGAACTTCTTTACAACAGAGTTCTGACAAAGAGGCAAACCATGAGCAAAGGTTAGGACAATCATAGCCATCAATTTCACAACTGCAAAAGAAAAAAAAAGAAATAATAGATAATCATATCAATCAGTCACTCAACGAACCCGCATGTTTCTTCGATACATTGTTCATATAAAGCTTTTCGACGTTCTTGACTGAATTTTTTCAAACAAGAAGAAAATGGATTTTTTGTGGATGAACTATCATTCAAAATATTAACGCATATCTTATGAGCCCATTTCCATTTTTCTTCATCATCATTTGGTTTATTTATTTCAACTTTACATTTACTATTGACTTTCCATACATTTGTATATTTCTCCTTTTTCTTAATTAAGCCTTTGCTAAATTTTAAAAAAATGGTTTTAGATATTATTACAACATTATATAAAATAAAACGCATATGTAATTACTTAGGACGACTACGTTCACTACAGACACCATCTAATTTTCTTTTCCATTTATTTCCGATGGTTAAATAAATTCGATTACCTAAAAAGATTACAAAGATTATTAATATCTACGTCTTAATTTTTTAATTGCATACCAAAATCCCATCTAACGATAAAATGACTTCCATTAATGATGGCAAATAACCCAGCTTTATAAATTGTAAATGATAAATAATGTAAGGGTGATGCCGGTAATTTTGTTAGAACTGTATCATTAACACGAATGGATTTATCCGATGCTAATGAAATGTGTGTTTCTATATGAAAAAAATATTGTAATAAAAGTATTTAAAATATTCTGGATATTATACCGTCAATAGTCAAATGGCTGTGTAATGAATGATCATATTTAGTGGACACATTATTACTCAATATGAGAGTAAATTTTTTTGCATTATGTTTAAATCGAGCTGCGGTATATTCGCATGAACCGCTATTGATTCTCAAATATTGTCCACTAAATGTTGTATAATGTGTATTTCGTAAAATGCTACATGTACGTGAACAATCCACTTCAGTACATGACCATTGTCCTGATACACATGTGCTAAAAAATAAATGAAATAAATAAGAAAATTGTTTTAATGGAATTACACACCATTCGTTACAGTCTTGAGTGATCTTCGCACCATATGGAAATATGTTATGATTTAATTTGCATGAACAATGTTTAGGAAATACACATTTATTTGTCTATAAATAAATGTAAAGGTAACATTTATATGATTTTAATATAAAAACATACATTTTCATCGCGAATCATATTGGTTGGACAATCACACCCTGATCGATATTTGTGACAATTTTTCCATATTAAATGATTCGAACATGTTTTTGGACATGAAGTCAAGCTTGTTTCCGTGAATATTAAATTATTAGGGCAAATAATTTTCGACTTGTTACATTTGTTGCTATTACAATGAAATTGACCACGTAGACAAATACTAAAAAAACAAAACAAAAAGAGAATCGACAAATAGAAATAAGTCTTATTTACCAAGTTGAACATTGACCATGTTTTATAATTGAACCAGGTGTATGATACAACTTTGTTCGTTCATCAAAACATGAACATTCTGATTCTTTGCTACATCTTAATGGATCACGTCTGCTTTGGTTTGTATCATAATAATTATCTTTAGCACAAACACAACCTAAGAAAAAAAATTAGAAATCAATTCAATTCGCTACTTGAGAAATATCTTACCACCAAGACATTGTTGTCTACAAACAGAATTTAACTCATGTTCGTCATCTTTATCTGAACAGGCATTTAAACATGAATAAGGACATTCGTCATATATAGTTCCAGCACCACATTGATCGAAGACTGATTGACATTCATCTCGCCATTTTGTATACTTTTGTGGTAGATCATAACCAATCAAAGCACATGCATGAGCAAATATTGAATGCCAATAACAAGAAGCTCGATTATTCATAGTAATTCGTATAACACGTTGATCTTCGATACAAGATAATAGAAGTCCATGAACATATGCACCAGATTTACAAACATTATCTCTTATTTGATGACAAATTTTTTCCTAAATAATTTAAAAAATGAATTCTTAAAATAATAATCAAAATACATACAGCTTCTTCTCGATCGAATTTTTCTGATACATCTACTTCTGCACTACTGCTGGATTCAGTATCATTAATCAAATAAGCTCGACTAAAAATATGCGTATCACATGTTAATTTGCCATTCGGTAAACGTAAATCGTTATCTTGATTGTAATCAAATGATCCACAAAGACCCCGAATACGTTCTCGATAGAATGATTCTAATGTGATATAAACAGCATTTCCATCATAGGCAATATGCATATCTTTGGATTCAAGTAAAATGAAATGAGATGTTGCTTGACGAACAGTTAAATCATCGATTTGAAATGGAAGTTGTTCAAGTTCATTGTCATTTAATTTAATTGAATGCATATCGGAGAGAGTTACCGTGTTATTACCAAGAGTAAACTTCAGTTGCCGTTTAAAATTTTTTCTTACGGATGCTTCAATGCGCATTCTTTTTATTGTATTGTCAATATTCTAAATATTAAAAAATTGAATTAATTGACGTAAAACTATATGATAAACTCGGAACCGAAAGTTTGAGGCATGTTGTGTTTTTCAACTTCATCTATGAATTAGCACTTGATCACGACACCGAAAAAGCGATTTTGATAACTCTCAGAATAGACTAAAAGACTGATACGCTGAAATTTCTGAGGAGTACCTTCATTTTTTTTATGCACGAAATCCTTTTTCTTCAGCGATCAAAAGTTTAAGGCACATATACTGTTTGATGAATTTTTCGCTGACAAATAATTATTTAAAATTTCTCTCTATATCATTTGATGTAGAATTCAATAGCTACATTTTAGTGAAAAGTGTTTTTTGGAAGTCGCTAATATCAAGAATTAATTATTAACCATACTTAGTTGATGTTAATAATAAAGAAAAAACCAGTTCGTTTTCAGTTTACAAGTGCATCGATGAAAAGACCATAAAGGAAAGATCCGCCGAACTCCTGACCAGACTGGGTACTGATAAACTTTTTCTTTTTGATTGTATTATCTCAAACAATAGGCCATCATTAGAAACCTCTAAATGCAAAAGATCAACTCTTTCTGACTTTCCGGTAAAAAATACCACAGTATATAAGTATGACTACTATTGATCCTGGATTAAAAAATCGGTGTTTTGAAAGTAGTATTAGTATTTTGTATTTTTTTCTGCGTTCGCTCATCAAGTCGAGTTCGGATATGTCTCAAAAAAATATAGCAATGTTTTAGCTACAAGATTGAATAACTCATTATCTATTATAATATCGTTCACCAAATAATAATGCCAATATACGAAGAGAGATTACACTTGTTTAAAACGAAAGTTATCTAGTATATTGAGTCTAACGATGCTGGATCATACTATTCCAGAGTACTTTTTATATTTTCTGAAAGTCCTTGAAATTCTACTTTGTTCTAGTTATTACTTCAACAGACTAAATTTCTGTTAGGAAAACTTATTCTATACCGTAAATGTTGATATTTAATACTCTTTCTTATCCATTCTGATCCCATATCATGATACTACATAAAGAGTGTGTACGAATTTCTGATCCTTTCTCAGTAATATTCTTTTTTTACATGTTTTTTCAGTAGAATAGGCTGACATTCGCAGCATACATACTAGACATCTAAATCTACTCTACCCTAGAATTTCAGTTTTCTACCTCTTATAGTCAGAGAGATATAAGTAACGTAAAATTAATGAATTTTTTTTTCGATTTATTTGTGAGAACTTTTCCGCCGTTTTATTAAAGATGTTAAATAAAAAACAATGGCTTTAAAGAGATTTATAAATCGAAATTCTTTAAGCATAATATATCTACTCGTCATCTAAATCTATTATTTGTTCAAATTGATGAGGTAATTTTTTCATTATTTTTCAAACTGAATACCATCAATCTGAGTTCTTCATTAATTTCGAACTTATTTGGCATGATTTAAGTATAAATTATCAAATTTGAATTTGTATTATTTTAAATATCTAAGCACAGCTTATTGTCTTCATTGCAAAATAAAACGATAATTTGATTAAAAAATATCAAAATAATAAATCAATTCATTTAGTCACTAAAAGTGATTTATCTGTTCATGAAACTCGGTAGTTCGTTCGTTTTGTTGTTCTTGCACGTAATGAGTATTGAGTAAAAACAGATCGTGCAATTTTTCTCTGCTAATAACCATGTGGATAAATAATAGAACCCGGAGGAGTAACACAAAGAAAATTAAAAGTTACACGCTATGAGAGATTGATCGACTAACTATAATATTTTCATTGGTGCTGTTTGTAAAAATAAATCAAAAAATTCCCATGAATTTTAAGTTACTTGTATCTTTCTGACTATATCAGCTAGACAGCTGAAGTTCTAGTGTAAAATAGATCTAGATGTCTAGTATATATGCAGCAAATATCAGTTTATTCTACTAAAAAACTAAGTAAGAAAAGAATATTATTTGAAAGGGATCAGAACTTAGTATATACCCTTTATTTTAAGTTTGTCTGAATGACAAATGTGACTTCAGATTCATAATCATCATGGAAAGTTCAATGTAAAAAACGTTATTTGATTGAATGTAAAATTAATCAAGCTAAAAATGACATATTGAATCCAGATAGCTTGAAAACATCTCAAAGTACATGTATTTTAAGGATGTTTATTTAATTTGCTAATAAACTAAATTTACACAAATATAAATTGTAAGAATGTTTAAGCCCCCCCCCCCCTTCAGAAAAGTCAATTTTGGTCAAATTTATCGATTTTATGATTTATAACTCATTAGATAGAGCTAAGTGTCTACTCTTGAATGCACTATAGTTGATTGATTTTATCATGAGATTTAAGGATATTACGTAGGTTTTTCCGAACCCCCATATTGAAAAAAATAAGGTTTTTAAAAACTTATTTTGCGTTTTTCTCAAAATCAATTTTTTCGACCATACCGTTTACGCGGGCAAGGATTTCTTAATAACGACTCAATATAGAAGTAATATTTTTTTTTATTATATAGGAGACATGTAGGGCTAGGACTTAACAGGCTCCGCTTTTTAAATTTCTCCTTTGCTAAAATAAAAAACTTCGACAGTTCATTTCTATTAGCAACTCCAATTTGAATATTCTTCGAAAAATCTTCTTTAAAAATCAAATCAAGGCAAATTCAAAAATCGGATCCTGTTAAGTCCTAGCCATAAGGATACTCTACAACTTCCAAACCGCGCGGACTTGTTAGCTCGTATTCTTATTGTGAAATTCTTGCCCGCGTAAGGGGTAATGAATTGACTAGACCTTGTGCATTTCTTTGAGATTTGTGGGAGATATTTCAACCATAAGCTACTCTAGTCAAGACTAACATTTCCTGAAATTTTGATTGAAGTCGGATGAAAAATAACAAAGTTAGTTTCTGAGAGGGGCGCCCATTAAGTTATTTTTCTTCATAATTGAGTTTGCTTTAATTTTCAATTATTTGCACTTTATTATTTATTAAGTTAGACTTTAAACTAAAGTACTTTTTTTGTGATACCTCATTTGAGAAACCTGTTTCATTTTTATCTTCTATTTATGTATGAAACTTATTCTGTACAATATTTTCATTCAATCGATAGTAGCGGATATCGGTAACTGTTACGTTACCAAGTATCAGTTAACGGAAAATATACGACTCTAATTTTCGCCATCAGGGAAGTCCTATTTTTCGACAATCGCGCATTTATTTTAATTTTGATTGAAGGTCTTCGAATTTGAGAAGTTCGAACGCAGAATTGCTTCCTCAAAATTCGTGAATTTAATATTTTCGATGGTGAAAGTCTATTTTTTGAATCTATCGTTTTCTTCTCTATAGTTTGATGAAAAGTTTTCTAAGTGGAAAAATTTGAATCTATAAGTTGTTTCTCATAATTTTTGAATTCGGTTTCTTCGAAAACTTTGCACAAATTGGCATTTTCCATCACGAAAACCTGGAACAAAACTTTAAAAAGAACCATTATTTTCCAAAAATAAACGCCTTTCTGAACAAAAAGAAATCGAAGTCACACATTTCCCATTGTGTGATACTTGGCAGCGTAAAAGTAACTGATATTCTTTACTATTGATTGAATGGCAATGTTTTATAGAACATAAATTGTACACAAATAGAATGTTGGAAATAGCATAGATTTGTCACATGAAACATTACGAAGAAATAGAATAATTTAATTTATGTTTACTTTAATAAATTACAAAGTGCAAATTATTTAAATTCAAGATGAACAAAATCTTCTTTAATTTAAATGTAAATTAACTTTAACAGCAGATAATTGCGTTTTCTTCTCAGATTTAAATTATGAAGAAAAATAATTTAAAGGAAGTTCCCCATTTTCCATAGGCTATTTCCCCCCCCCCCCCCCCTCGTTTTTTTTTTCTTTTAAATATTTGTTAGTTGGGACTCATGTGAGGATATTAGATCAATCAATCAAATCTTGGACATTTCTAGTTTTAGGGAAAAAACTAATGCTCAAGGGTTAGGATCATTTTCAATAATTATTGACCTTTATGCTATATTATGTTTTTGTATTTCATCTACAGTTGAATCAGCAGTTATCAAAAGTCTACTGCATATAGAGCTAAGGGTTTTCTATAATATAAAAACAAAATCATATTAGACAACTGATCTATTAATTAATAACATGTATCATAAAGAGTACTTAATTATACACTTATTTTGCAGTACATTGAAAAGATTGTTTTGCTTATAACTTTATAACAATTCATTATTAAAAAGTGAAGTTTTTATCATTAGTAAAGTTTCATACAAGCTATCGAAATAATAAAAAAAAATAGAGAAAAGATCATGATTCTTAAAATGGTGATTCAAATTTTAGGAGAAAGACAACCGAGCAACACGGTATCACCAAAAAACAGCTATTATCTCTAGGTTGTGAATATCACAATTCGTTTTTCATTCAAAATAATTATGATTTCCGGAATCAGCATATCAAAATACACCAGAAACTCTATAATTTATCGGAAAAATTTTTTCATGAAAATTTTTCCCTTACTCCCCCTCAGCCTTTTCTGAATAAAATTTTAGGCTGTACCCTCCTACGGGTGAAAATTTGCATGAGAAAATTTCTCCGATAAATTATAGAGTTTCTGGTGTATTTTGATATGCTGATTCCGGAAATCATAATTATTTTGAATGAAAAACGAATTGTGATATTCACAACCTAGAGATAATAGCTGTTTTTTGGTGATACCGTGTTGCTCGGTTGTCTTTCTCCTAAAATTTGAATCACCATTTTAAGAATCATGATCTTTTCTCTATTTTTTTTTATTATTTCGATAGCTTGTATGAAACTTTACTAATGATAAAAACTTCACTTTTTAATAATGAATTGTTATA